GTCTGCGTCAGCCTGTGCCGGCCTGTGCCGGTCTGTGCTGGCACGGGGGTGCAGCAGTGAATCAGGCCATGGGCTCTCACCCTGAGGTCCGGGCATCGGGCGTCCCCAGCCCAGTCAGGCTGTGGGCGAGGAGCTTGAGAGGACGCAAGCAGCGCATTGGCCGGGCGGCCTCGTCAGGGCCTGTGCCCTGCGGACTGCAAGGAGCCGGGGCGGGTGGAGCGCCAGGGCTGACCCCAGGCCTCCAGGCCAGCCACGCCCCTGCACGGGCAGTGTGACCTGGCCGCGGTGGGCGTCCCAGCAGCGGTCTCCCAGGCATGTGAGGCCGTGTGCGCGGGGCTGGGGGCAGCGGGCGGGCAGAGGCGTCCTGCGCCCTGAGCTCTGGGGAGGATACAGCCTGCTGACTTGGGCCCGGGGGACCAGTTAGCCGGAAGAGTCCTCCCGGAGAAGAGCAGGGTGCATCAGGTTACCCCTTTGCAAGGACGCTCGGCTCCCTTGGCCCCCCTCCCCCGCGGAGGAGAGCCCCCACAGGAGTTAAGCGGCCCCCAGCCCGGCAGCCGTGCAGCCCAGCAACTGTTTTCCACTCAGTGCTGAGCTCCTGGGCTCCGGGGGCCGGGGTGGGGAGGCCCAGGGTGGAACCGACTTGGCCGGGAGTTGGGAGTGCGGCCTGTGGAGCCGGGGTCTCCCCCGCCCCCCTGGTGCGCGGCCAGGCTGGCTGCCGGCGGGGGGCGGGGCGGCTGCGTCATGGGACGGCTGTCACTGCAGTCCGCGGCAGGCTGGAGCCAGCGGCCCCGGGCTTGGCAGGGCGCGCGCAGAGCGAGTCAGCGCAGCCGCGCGGTGCCAAGGCTGGGAGCAGGCTCCCGGCTCCGGTGCAGCTCCTGCGGCCTTGCCCGGCCCCGCCTGCCCTGCCTCCTCCCTCACACCCCTGTGCTCTCCGTCTGTGAGCCAGGCCCTGTGCTCCGTGTTTTCCTGTGTGCCAGTGAGTTACCACTCCTAAGCCTTCCCCCAGGCTGTTGACACAGAGAGGTGAAGGAACTTGCCTGGCGCCACACAGCCAGCTAGTGGTGGAGCGGAGGTTAGAACCGCGCCGAGATGGCTCCCGCGCTCCCAGCTGCTCCGTGAGCCTGCGTCCTGGCTGCAGGGGTCTGAGAGTGAGAGGCGCGGTCTGCAGCCCAGGCGTGCAGAGAACCAACTTACCCTTAGGTCAGAGCAAGCCCCAGCGTGAGTGTGTTCTTGGTCCTTGTTCTTGCTCCCAGTTGCAAGGTAGCTGCCGCCAGTCCCGCCATCATCCTGCCACCGCGGCACCCAGAAGCAGGCTGGGAAGGGATGAGGGCTCTCTTGGCCGTCTCCCTGTGGTGCAGGAACTGTCTCCTGGACAGTTAGTTGTCACCAACAGAGGCCCAGCTGTCCATTGCTGGGGCACACGCCCACCTGTAACCTCAGGGACTCCGGGGACGTGAGGGTGTGGCCAGCTCAGACTGCCCGGGGCAGGCTAGGTAGGAACGGCTGCTGGGTGGGCAGTTCTGAGGGCCTGCTGGTCACTGACCCTCGTGGCAGCCCTGCACAGTGGCTGGTGCCACCTCCCTTGTAGACAGTAAAACAGCCTTAGCGACTGGGGCTCGCCTGGCCTAGCTCAGCCCCCGACGGCACCGAGAACCGGGCTGCCTGGCTTTTATCCTCTCTGTCAGTGTTTCAGAGGTGCCAGCCCCTGCAAGGCGAGCCCAAGCCTTGTTTATCTGTTGTGTGTCCCTGCCTAGCTCAGGTCTAGAAGGTTCCGGAACCTTCTAGAAGGTTCTGAAGCAGCTTGTCCCTTTCTGTTTATGAGTGGCACAAACCAGCTGAGACTTGCTCCAGCGGAAGGGGAGTTTGCATTTCCACAGCAGGAGGTCACGGGGCCGTTGCGGCCGTCGCAGATGCAGGCTGTGCCTCCCTCCTTCCTCAGCCCTGCCTTCTCCGGGGCGGGGGGGGGGGACACGCGTCCTCCGGCAGGTCCTCCTCGTCTGCTGGCCAAGGTGGCCACCAGCAGTTGTAGGCTGACACTCAGCGATCGCAAGGATTGGAGAGAGGGCCCCAGCAGATGTCTCAGGGCAGATTCTGATTGGCCTAGCCTGGGGCACCGCCCCCGCCTACAGTGGGGAAGAGACCCAGGTTGATTGACAGCCATCTCCACGGGGCCAGGGAGGGACAGGTAGCAGGTAGATTCCTTTCCAGAAGAATTCTTTACTACAGTAGAGTGTGGAGAGGAGTGGAGAGTTTGGGACGTGATGGACGGATGGATGGATGGACAGATGCACGGACGGATGGACGGACGGACGGATAGGTGGAGAGATGACAGATGAGTGATGGGTGGGCGGGAGGCTGTCTGGCTGGGAGAATCAGTGGGCAGGTATTGCGTGCGTGGGTGGATGGATGGTTGGGTGGATGGAGGGAGGGACAGGCGAGTAGATGGGTGATTGGTGGGTGATGAGGGTGAACAGGTAAGGAGAGAGTGCCGACGGGTGAAATGGTGGCTGGGTGGTTTGGTGGACGGTTGAGTGGGGGTGGAAGAGGTGGTCAGCTGAAGCAGACGGGTGGAAGTGTCAGCGGGTGCTCGATGTAGACTAGCAGTTGGGTGCTGGGCGGGACGAGGGGCGGCTGGTTGGATGCAGCCCCTCTCCACCTTCCTGAGGGGCTCTGCAGGCCAGCCTGCACACACGAGCGCCGGGTGCAGTGCCTCCTGCGTGAGCGGTGCAGTGCCTCCCGAAACGGGCCTGCGCCCGGAGCCTGGTGCCACCGCCACTGCTCCTGCTGCTTCCGCCGGCACAGACACTGATGCCTGCTCCCCTGGGAAGCCTGGGCGATGCGGACAACCTCCCGGAAGCAAGCGGACAGGCATCGCGGCTCGGCCCCGGGTGACTGGTGTTGGCAGCTGGCGGCCGTCTCTGACCGCGGTGAACGTCAGCGCTTGCCCTGCCCCCTCTCCGGAGTGAGGGCCTCCAGGCCTCAGGGAATCACTTCCCCGCAGCCGGGCAGACCACCACCGCAGCCTTGGCCTTCGGCCACCCTGTCGGGGCCTTGTCAGGCGACCAGGGACCAAGCGTTTTCATGCCGTCTTCCTTGGGTGCTGCGACCTGGACCTCAGGGGACACCGAGAAGTGTGGCGTGTTCTGGAAAGACCACTGGTTCCAGCAGAGTGACGGACGCCCGTGGGTCCCCAGAGTGATGGCTGTCCGTGGGTCCACAGAGTGACGGGCATCTGTGGGTCCACAGAGTGATGGGCGCCCGTGGGTCCCCAGAGTGATGGATGCTCGTGGGTCCCCAGAGTGATGGCCGTCTGTGGGTCCCCACAGTGATGGGCGCCCGTGGGTCACCTGCTGTCCCTGGAACGCCACCTTCCCATGCAAGACGAACACTCGGCTTAGGCCAGGTGTGCCCAGGCTCTCATGACCTCGGGTTAAGGTTGGTAGACAGCGGCTCCTGGCCGTGGGCCCTGGGTGTCCAGAGAGACAGAGGAGCAGCAGCAGTGGGGGCGGTGTCCTGTCTGGGAGCAGTGTGGGCAGACGCTGCTGGCCAGGTCGCCCAGCTCCTGTGTGAGCCGTGGTGGAGGAGGCAGCCCCTGCCCAGAGTTGTCCCTTCCCAGGCTCTGGCCTGCGGCTCTGTCCTCGGATGGTTGGGTGGATGGAGGCCCCGAGGCCCCGAGGCCGGGGCGGTCTCGGCTCAGGCGCCCCTCCCCCTAGGGCTGCGGACGACTCAGCGCAGAACAGCTTCCTTCCACCCGTCTGGGTTCTCTGAGACTGAGGGGGGGCCCAGGGAGTGTGCGCAGTGTACGCCGGGACCACCGGGGCCCCCGTGCGTGGCCAGGCTCACCGACGGCAGTGGCAGGGATCCCCAGCGGGCCTCGTTCCCATCGGTTGCACGCACGGCCCCCACGGTTCTGGCTCCTCTGCCCCCGGCACCCCCTGTGCCTGCAGAGACCAGGTGTATCTGTCAGTCATTGCTTTAGTCCCTCCTTCCTTATTAATCAAATCACTCCACGCATCGGCCAGAGCTTCCCATGGGCAGGCCCCGGATGCAGCAGGGGTGGGGAGCTGGGGGCCTCAGGCGGGGGCTGCACAGGTGGTCCCCCCCCGGGACGTGCGCGGGGACTGCTCTGACAGCTGCGTGTGCACACCTGCGTTTGCGTCGTGCTCCCGTGTGCGATGTGTGTGTGCATGCGTGTGCACGCGTGCTGTGAGTGTGCAGGATGCTGGGCAGACAAGCTTACATGTGTGCTCATGCGTGTGTGCACATGTGCAGGCATGTGGTGGGGTGCGCACCCTTTGTGCACACACGTGTGTGTGTGTGGGTGCGTGCACGTGATGTGTGAAGCAGTGGGAGCAGCCAGACGGGGCCTCTGGGAAGATTGATGGTGTCGGGCAGGCTCCTCTGGCAGGTTCTGAGCTTGGCTGCCTGCCCACCTCAGGTGAGGCTGCGTTCCCGGCCGTTCCCGGCCCGGGTGGCCCTGGGCTGGGGCGGGGCTTGGCTGGGCCCAGGGAGGGGAGGGCCTTTGGGTCCAGCCCGCCCTGCGTGTCCCCTGCCTCTCCTGCCCTTGCCTCCCACCCCCACCTGCCCCCATGGGCAGCAGTGTGCGAGGCGGCTCTCAGCCCAGAGTGGCCGGAGGCAGCTCCGGCGGCTGGTGATAAATGCGATTCCAGGGCTCTTCCTCAGCGCGCTGGTGCTGTGGGGCCAGCCCAGGGCTTGGGCTCTGCATTGTAACAAGCGTCGTGGGCCTGGGGTTCTGGTGGCCGTTGGCCACTCTTCAAGGACCCCTCCGGCGCCACGAGGGAGCCCTGGCAGAGGCCTGGGGGTGTGGCCTTTCCCCCCTGTGTCCCCCGCGGGCCTGCGCCCCTGCCTCGCTCACCTCGCGGGGCTGCCTGCCCGGGTTGGGCCGGTAAGCCTGTCTCTTCTCAGCCACAGCGTCTCCGCGTCTCCGTCCGCAGGGGATAACTCTATCCTCGGCCCCCTTGGGGTCTCGGGTTCTGAGGAGGGGTGAGGGAGCCAGCCTGTGATCATCCCCAGCAGGGGTGAGGGAGCCAGCCTGCGGTCGTCCCCAGCAGGGGTGAGGGAGCCAGCCTGCAGGTCATCCCCAGCAGGGGTGAGGGAGCCAGGCTGCGGGTCGTCCCCAGCAGGGGTGAGGGAGCCAGCCTGCGGTCGTCCCCAGCAGGGGTGAGGGAGCCAGCCTGTGATCATCCCCAGCAGGGGTGAGGGAGCCAGCCTGCAGGTCGTCCCCAGCAGGGGTGAGGGAGCCAGCCTGTGATCATCCCCAGCAGGGGTGAGGGAGCCAGCCTGTGGGTCGTCCCCAGCAGGGGTGAGGGAGCCAGCCTGGGGGTCGTCCCCAGCAGGGGTGAGGGAGCCAGCCTGTGATCATCCCCAGCAGGGGTGAGGGAGCCAGCCTGCGGGTCGTCCCCAGCAGGGGTGAGGGAGCCAGCCTGCGGGTCGTCCCCAGCGGGGGTGAGGGAGCCAGCCTGCGGTCGTCCCCAGCGGGGGTGAGGGAGCCAGCCTGCGGTCGTCCCCAGCGGGGGTGAGGGAGCCAGCCTGCGGTCGTCCCCAGCGGGGGTGAGGGAGCCAGCCTGCGGTCGTCCCCAGCGGGGGTGAGGGAGCCAGCCTGCGGTCGTCCCCAGCGGGGGTGAGGGAGCCAGCCTGCAGGTTGTCCCCAGCAGGGGTGAGGGAGCCAGCCTGCGGTCGTCCCCAGCAGGGGTGAGGGAGCCAGCCTGTGGTCGTCCCCAGCGGGCTGCCGAGTGTCCGTCACAGCTCTCCTGCGCCCTGCAGGGGGACTGCGTGGTCTCATGGGCCTTGTGGTTCTGTGTGCCACGTAGTTCCCGTGGGATGAGGTCCCTGAGTGCCACGTGGTCCCGTGGGCTGTGTGGTTCTGTGTGCTGTGAGGCTGTGTGGGCCGTGTGATTTCTGTGTGCCACGTGTTTCCGTGGCTGCGTGGTCCCGTGGGCTTTTTGTTTCCGTGTGCCCTGTGGTTCCCTGGGCCGCCTGTGGGCTGCGCGGTGAGCCCTGCTGCAGATCTGGTGCCGCGTCCTGGGAGCCGTGTCCGCACACTCCCACGCCACAGACGGGAACACCAAGGCTCTGCTGCCTGGCCCCCAGCCCCCTGGCCCTGGACTGCTGCCCGCACGTCGGGCCCGGCTGGGGCTGCACTGGGCCACACTGCATCTGGCTCCGCAAACGTGGCAGAAACAAAGGCACTGCCGCGGCCACCTTACCCCAGGGGAGGGGGGGCGGTGCACGGCCCCACGGGGGACCTGCATGAAGGGCGGGGAAGTGGAATCCGAGCCACGACCCCCCAGCGGGCTCCTCGCACCCCCACAGCCCCCACAGAGGTGGCCGCCCGTCTCTGCATGGCTCCGGGGGTTCCTGGGCAGGGGCAAGTGGGGGCCCCCTCCCCGCATCTTGGCCTGAGCCAGAGCCTGCCTGGCAGTCGCCGGAGGGAAACATCCAATAAAACGGCAGCTCGGCCCCAGCCCCACACCCGCCCCTCCCCGCCTGGCGGGGTTCTGGCCCCTCCCCCTCAGCAGAGGGGCCCCCCTCGCCCCAGGAAGCGCGTGGGTGCCAGGCAGGCGGAGGCGCCGGCCGGTGTGCGCGGCTGGCTGGAGCCAGGAGCTGACCTTATTAGAGCCGGGGCAGCTGCGGGGACGCACATCTGGCAGTGGGCTGGGCCCCGCCCGTGTGGCCTGGCGTTACCTTCCAGGAATGCTGGCAGTGCCGGCGCATCTGGAGCGCGTTTCTGGGGGCAGCCGGCGCCCCCTCCGGCGCCTGGCCTGAGGCTGGGGCGCCGCCCCCCCTCCGCTCACTTCCTGGCTCCTCCCTCCTCTGGCTGTGGGTGTCGCTGCTGGGCAGGCCCTGGGCTGGGCCACCTCCTGGAGGCTGGGACCAGCTGCTCAGGCCCTGCCATGCAGCGGGGCAGACAGAGGCCTGCAGGGGGCGCGCGCTGGCCCTGGGCCCTGGGCAGCTGTGCGGCAGTCGCTGGCTTCGAGCCCTGCGTCTGGGAGCCCGCGGGGCTCCAGCACCACGGCCGCTGTGCTCGGAGCCGCTGGCGGTGGGCCGTGGACGGCGAGCCCCGTGCTGTTGTCCCCACTGTGCTGGGCGCCCCTGAGCCCCACGATTCCTGGCCGTGTGGCCTTGGCGCGACCTCCCCCCCGCCTCCTGTGCTCCTCTGTAAAGGGGTCGGAGGAGGCGTCCGTACATCCTGTTCCCGTTATGAGTGAGGGCTGATGAGATGCGACAAGTGGCTGAGGGCTTGCAGCCAGGGAGGGGTCCTCGTCTGCCCAAGATGGAAGCAAAGACCCCCGGGGCAGACAGGAAGGGCTGCCCACGGGGAGGCCGCACCCAGGAAAAGGCAGCGGAGAGCCGTGTGCGCAGGCCTGGGGTGGGCGCGGGAGAGGGTGTGGGTGCAGGCCTGGGGTGGGCGCAGGCCTGGGGTGGGCGCGGGAGAGGGCGTGGGCGCAGGCCTGGGGTGGGCGCGGGAGAGGGCGTGGGCGCAGGCCTGGGGTGGGTGCGGGAGAGGGCGTGGGCTCAGGCCTGGGGTGGGTGCGGGAGAGGGCGTGGGCGCAGGCCTGGGGTGGGTGCGGGAGAGGGCGTGGGCGCAGGCCTGGGGTGGGTGCGGGAGAGGGCGTGTGCACAGGTCTGGGGTGGGCGCGGGAGAGGGCGTGTGCACAGGCCTGGGGTGGGTGCGGGAGAGGGCCGTGGGCAGCTCACAGAAGGCGACCGAGAGGCCTTAGGGAGGAGTGTGGGTCCTGGGCAGAGGCAGTCAGCTGTGTGGCTGGCAGGGAGGGGGTGGGGCAGCTGTGCAGCTTGGAGGGAGCGTGGTACCCGCTGGGGGGCTGCTATCGGGCCTGGAGGCCAGTTTGGGGGTGGGATCCTGGGGGGGTGCTTCGCTAGGGGTTAAGGCTTCAGAGGCTGGCTGGGGGCGGGGCCTTGCCCCCTGCTCCAGCCCCTGCCCTGCGTCCGGGACCCACCCACCCAGGGGCTCCGTAAACACTAGCCGAGTGACTGACTGAGTGATGAACGCAGGGTTCTGTGGGAACCGTGGCAGAGGTTGGTCCCGCGGCAGCAGAGCAGAGGGTGGACGGGAGGGGCTGAGGCCGGAGTCCTGGCCGGGCCACCTGGTCACCCAAGATGAGCGGGGTGGGTCTGTGCAGGAGGACCCCCGGGAGGTGGCGTCCTGCCCGGGACACTTTCTCTGGCCAGGCTTCCTGCCAGGCCTGGCCGGAAGAGCTCTGGCCCGACCTGGCCTGGTGCCGCGGGGCGCGGGGGGCGGGGGCGCCCGCCAGCCTGCTCTGACCTCCCCCAGACACCGTCTCCCGCCGGCATCTGCTCCCGCTTCCTCCCACCCTGGAGTGTTTGTTTTCCTCCCACCGAGGCAGCCATCCAAGGGGTGGTGTTCCGGAGACATCGCTGCGCCCTTGCACGGCTCACGGCCCGCGGGGGATGGCCGGGGATGGACGCGAGGAGGCCGCGTGTCGTCAGCCCCTGGCTCCCGCCCTGGGGGTGGAATCCAGAGCATGCGTGAGAGCCTCCCCCTTGCCTTGGCCCGCCCAGCCCCCCCCCCCAGGGGCTGCTGGCTCTGCTCCCTCTCCCTCCCCCTCACAGGAGCCAGGCAGGATTTGGGTCAGAGCCGGGGCAGGGGAAGGCTCCAGGCCGCCGGCTGCGGGCTCTCCCTGGTGGCCCAGGCCTGGGCGGGGTGGGGGGTAGGGGCTGAGCTCCCCCACCCCGTCCTCTGGGGCCACCCCCTTCTCGTGTTTTGCTTTCACTCTCATTCCTCCAGGAAGCTCAGTGGGCACCTACTGTGTGCAGTGCTCCGCCCTTCCAGGCAGTGGGTAGCTACTCTGCGCAGTACTACCCAGAGGAGGCTGTGAGCACCTACTATGTGCAGTACTCTGCTCCCCCCAAAGGCAGTAGGCACCTACTATGTGCAGTGCTACCCCCAGCTGCACGGAGCACCTACTATGTGCAGTGCTCCCCGCCCAGAGGATGCAGTGTGTACCTACTACGCGCAGTGCTCTGCCTCCCCCTCTCCTGGAGAAGGCAGTGGCCTTAGCGGGGAGGGTGCCAGGGCTGGGTTGGGCTCATGCAGGCACCGTGGCTTCGGGGCAGTGGGCACTGCGCCCCACTCTGGGAGGCGGGGTGGGCAGGGTGCCCAGCCCCTGCCTGGGAAGCTTTGGAGGTGAGGCTGGAGCGGCTGGCGAGGGGTGCTGCGTCCCCACACAGGCCGCCCCCGACTGCCCTTCCTCCGGCTGGGGTCTGCAGGGGCAGCCACGCCTCCAGGGCCGAGCACCTGCCTGGTCGCCCTGGCTGAGGTGTGGGAAGCGCAGGCCCCACCACCCCGCCTCGGGCGCCGCGGGCGTACAGACAGGACTCGGGCTGTTGGTTGTGGTTCAGCCTCCTGCACCCGTCCTGGATCCCAAAACCCCACCACGTGCTCCTGAACGTCACAGATCCTGGAGCCAGGGCTTTGGGCCGGCAGGGGCGTGGTCAGGGGTCCGAGCCCACCTTGCTCATCGCTGAAGCGGGGACGTGGGCATGGGCGCCGCCTTCTCTCGCGAGGCTGCCGGAAGCAGATCCAGGTGCAGGGCTGGCCGGGGCACCCTGGCTGGGGGGTGTTGTCCCAGCACGGGTCATGGAACTCAGGGAGGCACACACACGGCATTTGCATGTCTCACCAAGCTGCCCCAACCCCCAGCTCCCTTCACAAATGCCCCCCCCCCACGCGCGCGCAGGAGCTGCCCCTGCCGCGAGCTGCCCCCCGGACGCCAAGGTCCTGGTGCCCTTCAGTGTGCCCACCAGGGACGCCCGGCTCCTGCACTTCTACGTAGGATTTGTGTTATTCACTCAAGCGGTGGGGGTGGGGGTGAGGGTGGGGGCAGGGCTGATGAGAGCGCCCCCTGCTGTTCACTCCCCAAAGCCTGCAGCAGCTGGGGCTGGGCCAGGTGCAGCCGGGAGCTGAGAACTCCATCCGCGTCTCCCACGTGGGCGGCGGGGCGGACGCTCGAGCCGCCCCCAGCTGCCTCCCAGCGTGCGAGTCAGCAGGGAGCTGGAGTTCACTGGACCCCCAGCCGGGTGCAGGTCCCCTGCAGGAGCTTGACCTGCGGGGGGGGGGGGGGGCTGCACCTGTCACAGGCTTCGAGGCACGGCCCCTGCTGGAGGCTTAGCCGGGCTTGAACCTGCCCTGCTGCCCCGCAGCTGCGTGCCCTGGGCCCGTGGCCTCCCCTCTGAGCCTCTGCCTCTGTGAGACAGCACGGATGGCTTCCGCCCTCCAGGTGGGGTTGTGGGGGCACCCGGCATGGTGTCTGGCACTGGGCAGGCGCCCCTGACGCGACCCCACCTGTGCCTCCGGGCGGGAGCTTTGGACTCTGAGCAGTGTGCAGAGGTGGGAGCCTCCCGGGCCGTGGCCGTGCCGGCAGCCTGAACCCAGCTCTGTGAGCAGGGCTTTGTCCAGGCACACGGGTGGGTGCCGTGAGTCAGAGGCATCTGCGCCTCCCGTGGACGGCCCCCGCCTGGGCTGAGCCTGCTACGGTGCATCCCCGCCGCCTGGATTCAGGAGTACGCCCCACACCCCCCTGGGATGGCCGGGGGGCTTCCTGGAGGTGGCAGGCTCCCAGCTCTGTTGCCGTGCGTTACACTAGGACCAGGAGGGGCCGGAGCCCCGAGGCTCACAGAGGGCGGGGGGCTGCCGGGCGGGAGCAGTGGGACGTGCCCGCCCCTGGGACTGACGGGGGTCAGGCGGGCTGGGCCTGAGCGAGCTTGTCCAGTGTCCCGGGCGCCCGTGGTGCTCAGCCAACCGGGACCCCCACGGCGACCACAGACTTGGGCTGGGATGGCACGGGTCGATCCCCTTGCAGCCCCCGACCCCGAGCCCAGAACCAGGTTCCCCGGTGAAGCCCAGGTGTGGGCCGAGCCAGCTGCTTCTGCAGGGACCGTGGTCTCGTGCTGGGCCCGTGTGCCCCGCATCCTGAGTTGGGGACGGTGGGAGCACACGGGTGCTGACTGCAGCTGGGGCACACGGCAGGGGGAGGAGCCGTGTGTGCCCCCGCAGGAAGCAGCTCTGCAAGTGAACCACGGGCACCGGGCCCCGCCCTCCACGTGGCAGCCACAGCCGGCGTGGAACAGGCTCGCAGGGTGGTCACGCGGCAAAGCCGAGAACAGGCGTGTGTGTCCGGTTAAGATTTTACTTATTTGAAAGGTGGAGTGACAGAGAGGGAGAGATCGGGAGAGCGTCCACCTGCTGGGTCACTCCCCAGATGGCCGCAACAGCCGGGGCTGGGCCGAGGCGGAGCCAGGAGCTGCATCCGGGTCTCCCCCGTGGCTGCAGGGGCCCAGGAACCCGGGCCATCTTCTGCTGCCTTCCCAGACACATCAGCAGGGAGCTGGGCTGAAAGTGGAGCTGATGTGGGACCCCGGTGTCTCGGGCAGCCCCGTAACCCATGGTGCCATGACGCCGGCCCCTCTGCTTCGTGCTGAGACAGCGAGTGTGCGGCCACGTGCACGGGGGACGTGGAAGACGCAGGCCAGCACGGTGCGTGGAGAGGCCTCCGTGGGCGAGGGCCTGCGTTCTGTGTCGCGTTTTCTCTTGCTGGCTGTGTGAGAGGCAGGCGTGTGGCTGCTGATTCCAGCAGCTTCTGGTCTGGAGACGGACGCCGGGGGCATCCTGGCATGGAGGCCGGCGGCCAGGGCTCTCCCTGGTCAGGTTCTGCCTCGGGGTGGCACTGGGCCGTCACCAGCCCGCAGACCCTGGGCGGCTGCTGCGCCCTGAAGCAGTGCAGGCCTGAGGGGCCGTCCACCATGCTGGGCCCTGAGGCTG